TCCTCCCCTCCACCACCAGCACCGCCACCACCCCTCCCATCACTAGGTCGAGGCGAGGAGGAGGAGGAGGAGGAGTAGGAGGAGGAGGAGGAGGAGGAGGAGGGATGAGGCGCGCGGCGGAGGGGAAATGGCTGCCGAAAACAAGCCGGAAGGTAAGAAATAACGGGCTCTTTTTATTTATTTATTTTTATTATTTCTGAGTTGAGCTGTGGATGATTCAGAGGGAGCAGAGAGGACGGAGGTAAATGACACGGAGCGGAGCAGAGATAACAGCGAGGGGCTTCCCTCCCCCCCCTCTCTCCTCCTCCTCCTCCTCCGGGCCCCCCTGTCCCGAAAACACGGCGGCTGGTGCTGAAGCAGAGGCTGCGAGGATGACGGTAAACCGACAGCGGATCCAGAACAGAGGGAGAGTTGTCCCGTCGCTCCACTCCGGGATAGGGGAGTTTTTATTCTATTGTTTCATCTTATTTCAGTTAAATGCGATCGATAGCGTCACCTTTGAGTTGCTTTGGGTATGTGAGTTTAGAAGGGATCGGAATGAGGAAGGATGAGAGTGTTAACGCTGAAGGAATTCAGATGCTCTCTTTCTCTCTGTGTGCGTGTTTGTCGTTTAAAGCATCAAACTGAGCTCTGGGTGGTAGATTCCTTATTTTACCCTCTCTGCGTTCGTGTGTGTTTATGTTTTTTGCCCCTTGCTTTTCATGTGTGCTTACATGGTTGCTAAGGCACTGAGGGGGAGAATCTGGCTGCTTTTTAGGTTGTCATGGGTGAGCAGGTGTGTGTGTGTGTGTGTGTGTGTCAGTTTTAGGTCATGCAACGCAGAGCCGGTTCAAGGTTGTAGGGGGCCCTAAATGGAATTTAATTATGGGGGCCCTTCTTTCAATTAGAGGGGTCGCCAATTAAAAATCTACAAACGGTAAAGGTCTGGACACATTATTAATTATAAATTGTTACTTTAAATTTAACGCTGAAATAAAAATGAGGTTTTTAAATATAAAAAAGAAACAGAACATTTTTCAATTTTAAAATCTTAAATGTTTTTTGTTTTTTTTTAAGTTGAAAACAATTTTTGAGTTTGGTGTATAGACAATTTCCTGATTCCCATATTTTATAAAACACCTAAACTGACCATTTATTTTATTTATTTTCTTTTTTATGGCTTAATGAGAGCAGTGGGCTTCAGGCTGCCCTGCAAGGCTTTAAACCTGGGTTTGAATGGGGACAAAGCCATTCTAAAGCACATATTAAGGAGCTCATTTTGAGCCTGAATCCATATTTATTTTTTATTATGTTCATGGTGGAGAATCCTGCTTCACAGCAGCAGGTTGAGCCAAACATACTCTAAATTTGCAGGGTCATCTTTGAGGGACACCGTTTCACTTTTCTTTCACCAGTTCACAGCAGTTCTTCCAGCAGTCCACACTTTCTCTGCTCTCTTTTTCTCATCATTTTCTCCTTCTTTCCCATCACCCGGCTTGCCACAGATTTGCCTGCTGTGTCTCAGCAGCAACCCAGACTGACACAGCTCATTGGCTAATGGGCGTCACGTGCAGCCTGGTCCCGGAGGGCTTTACCGTACAACCAGGAGAAGTGACGCAATTGAAATTAGACACTGCCATCGGACAACATGCAGTAATTTATAAACATTTCAAATCAGGTTGCGTCTGAATTAGTCAGCAGGTGGGTCTGGATCCGGACCGCGGTCAGCTAATCTGACCTCTGAATTAGAGCATTAGGGCACCTCCAACAAAAAATACAAAAGAGTATTTTTTCCCCTCTGAAATAACTTCTTTCATTTATTAAAATGATATATATATATTATTGTTTTGGCTACTGTTGAATGTAATGTAAGCTTGGTTTGGCATTCTGATAAAAAAAAAAAAACAGTTATATAAAGGATGATGGCCCCTGAGGCGAATTGAGTTTCAATTTTTATGGCTGCAGATTTGTCGAGAAAAACAATGTTTAATGATTTAGTGCTGCTGCCCTGCTTTCCAAGACAGACTTAACTCTAACTATCAGGCAGTATTTTTGTATTAGCTTGGATTTAAAACAGTAAAAAAGAAAAAAAAAAAAAAGATTTGAATAGACAAAAAAAAAAAAATTGTGATGGAAGTAGAAGGGGTAAGTCAAGAGTCATGTAAAGTGGCATTTTCCAATTTTACATAATGAATAAATACATATATGAATAAATCAATTGATAACACGGATCCCCTATTATTTATTCATTTATAAATAAGCTTGATGATTCAGAACTTCACATAAAATTAAGCTGAGTATAAAAATAATCAGACATTTAGGTCTTAGTTTTGAGCTTTTATTTTAAGTTTCATAATAGGGTCTTCAAGTGAATATCTGAATCTTTCATCTTAAAAATAAAGATAAATATAATATCAATATTTTTTATTCTTCTAAAAGCAAATAAAATAACTTGTGCAGGGTTAAAAAACTTCAATTTTGATTTGAATGACCCATTATCGATTCATGAAAAACTTAAATCTATCCTTTTTTAAATATGTGCACAAAAATATTGTGAGACGGTGACAGGGAATGTCTTGAGTTCACAGTGTGATTGTAGCCTTTCCTGTTTATTGTCAGGTCATGCTAGATAATAAGTTCATGATCAATGTAACTGCATAGGGTTCAATTCCTAATGCAAATATTCAAATTTTTACTAATGCAGCAATTTAGAGTTAGTCTTTGCGATCTGCAGCATTAGTTTTTCTGACAAAGTCTGCCAAACCCAAGTAAAGTTGGTTTTGCTTGAAACCCTTAAATGAAATGAAAAGCAATCAAATTGAATCATGACTCGAAATAATGGGTTTGTTAAATCCAAACAGATACTCAGCATTATTATAACAAAATATCAGTGCATTTGCCAACTTATTGGTCTTCAGCTTGTCATTGAGGCTAGTGGTGCTGTGGTTTGTAAGAAAACTCACACTGTCCAAAACTTGCGGTTATTGTTTACAAATTTAAAGTATATTTCACAACTTTATTATGTTTTTAACTTTGAAAACTATTTACAAAAACTTTTACCTCCTTAATTCATTATGGAGTAATCTGACCTTCCATGTTTGTTTTGAAACAGCAACACAGACATGTAGACTCATAACTATTGCTGCAGACTGCAAAAATTAATAAAAGAGGACATTTTAATGTTTAACCAAAAGAATTGATGTAGATGGATTCATTTAGTCAAAGTCATTCATTATGCGAACAAATCCCACCAGCCTCGTTAAGACCTCGCCACAAAGCATTGCGGCTCAATTAAAAGTCCAAGTTGATTTCCACATTCTGCATTTAACACGACCTGATTTATAGTGACATGCAACCCCATAATGAACTCCTTAAATTAACTGTATGACTAAATATGTTTCCCTTGACGACCAGCCTCTAGTCCTGTCAACCTTTCAATATGTGCAGTTTTGTTTTGTTTTTTCTTTGTTTTGTTTTTGTTTGTTTTTTGGCTAAAAAATCTGTGTCACAAATTGTACTAACATTCAGGAGTACTTATCTGCTAGAAAAAAAAAAACATGTACCCACTGACAAACAGTTGAAGTAATTTTCAAATCAAAGGATAGTCTTGTCTAGTCTATAAATGTGTAAAGTTTCCATAGTTACCATCTAATTTTGAGGCTGATAAAGGAGTATGCTGAGCAGTCTAGGATGGAAGAATGTTTTTAGTGTCCTAATGAAAATATTTACCAAATTTGAAGGGATATCTATGCTAGATGTCCTAAAGAGAATCCGAACAGACTATAAAATAAAAGCTTTCATACTTATTTAACAAAGCAATTTAAAACATAGAATTGGGAAAACACAGCAATGGAAAATTATCTACTTTACCCTTTTAAATGAAAGCTTGCTGATGATTTCAAAATAAGAGCCTTAAAAGCTTACAGTATGTTTACCACTTGTATTTAAAACTAATGATGGGACCAAAATTGAGTTCAGCACAGGTCTTACAAATTATGAGATTTCTTTATGCAAAAAAACAATGTTCCATTATTTGTAAACAGAAGCGTTTTGTAGAACAGTTTGATAAACTTTTAAGAATATGTATTTCAATATTTTATATTTTTTTATTTATACCCTATTTTTTTCTCATTATTACTCAGATTCAGTTTGATCAAAAATGTTAAACTGGTTTAAAGTTATTTATCATAAAAAAACCCCGATTTTATCTAATCATTATCTTATCAATCTACCCTCTTGAAAAGAAATGTGGCTACAGTGGAAAGAAACAACTTAGTTTTATCAAGCAGGAACCTCCTGCAGAACATAGCTGTCAATTTTCCCATTTTGGTCGAGAAACTACCGTGTTCAACCCCTCTTTGCCGCTGTGCTCCCGTAAATTTCCCAAATTACTGTATAATGAAAATATATATATTTAAAAAATCATGATCTGCAAAAACTGAACTGCCGCTAGCATCACAAATCAAAATCTGATCACCTTATTGTAGTTTACCATTATGCACATACCTTCAAAAATAATGGATACTGGAGCTTGACTGGGTAGTTGGTGGGCTCACAGCAAATGTTGTAATATTTCTCATATTTTCAAATCCAGAACTTGGCCTAGCTTAGCTTAGTTTGACCAGACTTCTGTCAGACCAGACTTCTGTCAGTAAAAAAAAAAAAAACATACAGAGAAAAGCTGGAAATGAAAATTAAAAAGAAGCACTTTTATTTAGAAATATACATAAAAAAATAATGGCTGGAGTTTATGGCTTCATCTGGGAACAAAACACAACTAAACATATAAGTGCTGGGATCATAGTGAGTTTGGAGGGAGGCATTACTTCTTTCATCAGATTTGTTCAGGAAAGATTCATAGTTAAGTGCAAAGCAAACTGCATCTTCTTTCAGAAGAAGAAAAAAGTAAAAAAAATAACTGTAATAGCTTAGTAAAACTCAAAATGTTATCTTGATAAAAATGACCATTTTAAAAGTAGTTTTAAAAGAAGAAAGGGTGTCCACCTTACCGACAAAGCTGGAAGCTGTTTCTGCAGGGAAGAAACTCCTGTAAATAACGTCATCTAATTTTAGAAACTCCAGGAACCACAAAAAAACCTGCAGTCTGGAAGCAAAGTGCTCTTATATCACACAGGCGTGCTTTTTTTGGGTTCAGTTTCAGAACGTTAATCTTAACTCACGAGTACCTGGGGTATTTTATAATAAAAAAAACCCCAAACATATGTACCAGAAACCCCTACATATTGAATAATATCGAATGCTAAAGATGGCTTTTCTCATCTGAAACTTGATACATATCCATGCAGCCTAATTTATTATTTGACCCTTCTTAACTCTGTTTTAGATAGAGGAAGGTTTTAACACCCTCCCCAAACTAAGAGCAGAATTTCTCTTGGGGGCATTTTTTTTTTTTAGTTAACACGGATAGAGAGAATGGTAGGTTTCTAACGTTTTTTTAAATTTTTGTTTCCTTTGGCATCCTAGACTTCAAAAGAAGATACACATACATGCATGCAAGCGAGCATGCAGCATGTTGCCTGAGGCGAAGGGAAGGCCGTGGGTTGAGAGTCCCCTTGCGTGTTAAGACCAGAAGCGTTGATGAGACAGAAGGCCCATGGGCAGCTCAGAAAAAAAACTGTAGCGCCTAAATGTTCCCCACATGCATACATAGACCGACTCCAACATTTGCAGCGATGTGTGGAATTAAGGCAATGATTTACAAGTCTCAGTCATGCTGACTAAAAGCCAAATGAGTCTTAGCCATGGAGCCAGGAGACAGCCATTCACTCTTTCCATTCCCTGGCAGATCTGTGTGTGCGTTTATGTGTGTGGGTGTGTGCGTGGCGCCAAACACCAGGAGTGGGCATGAGAACGGCATCCACCATATAGCCGGGAAGACCATCTCCCTCTGCACTGGTTGGACTACTTTGTATCATAGCAACAGTGGTCAGGGAAACAGAGAAATGATGGGAGAGAAGAGAAACTAAAACCTAGGTACAAGTTAGTCGCACACACGGAGGCAGGGCATCTACTGTGGCCAATCGATTCGGGGACGCAATCGATTCCAAGTTAGCAGGTCATCCCATGCATACGTCTCGTGAAGTTTAGAGGCGTTAGAAGAAAGGGAAGAGTGAAATCTTTTTTATTTTAATTAACCCTTATGTTTTCCTCTATTTCTCTTCTCCTTTTCTTTCTGTAGGACTGAAGAAGATACGAAACCCCGAGCGAATGGTCAGGATCGCTGTTGGATACACAGGACACACCCCTCCCAAGAGTGATGAATCCGACGCCAACAGTAAGAGACACACGAAACGCTCTTCACACAGTTAGGCACTCACGTCTGCGAACGAGGGTGTTTAAGTGCCACACAGGCGTTTGTCTGCAGCACAGGGTGACTGTGGGAGCAAGTATAAAAGCCTTCTGGCAGGATGATGTGAAGGGAAGGGAGGGTGTGTGCTGGCGATTGTGTCTGGGGTGTGTGTGTGTGTGTGTGTGTGTGGGGGGGGGGTTGAGGACTCCTTCTCATCCACCCTTTAACAGATCACATACAAACACCCTCAGACACACGCTCTATCTGCCTGTCTCTCTGCGGAGGCTTCATTGTAATTCAGCTCTTGTCACAAATCGTGTTTGTTCATGCATGCCGTTATAGTAATAGTGCACGTGCGCACACACTCAACGATACAACAGGCAGGGACGACTTCGGCTATCAGTACTTTATTGTCGTATTTAATCTGTACACTTGGCGTTATGTATCTATAATCCTCAATGGCGCTTGCTAAACCAGTAGTGAGATGGAGCGTGTACTTTCGAGCATGTGTGTGTGCGCAGGAGGCCACGTGGTGTGTGGTTGTCTTGTTGTGTTAGCGGGATTATAAGGGCAATAATTGCTTTGATTGGTTATCGATTTCAGAGGACACGGGGCACATGTAAGTCTGTTAGAGGGGACAAATTGGAGGCAAATAAAGAGATGGAAGGAGGAGCGAACAGAAACGTGTGATATAAAGACACACAGAGCTGGCCCAAATGGCATACTGCTTTCGATTTGTCTGGGTGGTCAGGTGTTGGATCTGGAAATGACGCCATCTTCTGATTTGAGCCAGAGGCATTTATTTGGAGCGTTTTTCCAAAGGAACACCAAGAAAGTTGGGTTTCTGGGGCGTTAAACAGTTTGGCCAATTCAAAATAAAGGCAGATCTATGACACGCTGGATACTTTTGTCGATTGCAAAATAAACAACCGTTATATGTTATAGTTATGCTGTTAGCCATGTAAAATATACTTTTATTTAACCATATTCCATTGGCTCATATGGAATATTTATAGGTGTTAATGGTTTGTTTACATGAGGAAACATGAGTAGAGCAATCTAAATATAATTTTCTATAGGAATGCTGTGCTAATGTCTATAGCAATGCTAGCGTGTGTGGCTAACTTCCATCAAACTAGCTAGGCTCCGTGCTTCACCTTTGCTCTTTGAACTGTAGGACCATTTTCAAGTAAAAAAGAAGGTTATAGGCTAAAACATTGTTTACATTTTTCTATCTTTTAAAGAGCTGGCCCGTTTTTTTTTTTCCAGCTGTTATAAACAGGGAATAATAAAACTGCCCCTCCCATACTTGTTTCTACTTGATGCTTGACTGGTGTTTTAGAGTAGGACATTTTATCTGTTCCGATCTTTTGGGTTTAGAAACTGAAGAAGGGCCCCTTATCATTCCAGTTTGTACAATAATAACAGGATTATACTGATGGTATACCTAGTTAGTTAGTTAGTTAGTTGGTTAGTTGGTTAGTTAGTTAGTCAGAACAGAAATACAAAGCTTCAAAAGCATTGCTTCTAGCCTCCTTGCCATGATTGACAAACATAATTTCTACATTTCAGAACACAGTAGAGATGTTAGTGATATAAGTTGAATATTAATAGGAAATATCATTAATAGCAGAGTTGAAGTTACTTCAAAAATGTAATGTATTACAAATAAAAAGTTATCTTTGATAGAAAGTAATATTTTTTTTTACAATTTTACCATCTGTGACATGTTACCGATTACTTTTTACTTGCTTTTGCCAAAACAAACATACAAGACAAGGCACTATAAAGTGAAGGTGTGCAATCATTTGTCATTAATAGCTGAATCACAAAAATAAAATGATATTGAATAGCAAAACATGAAAACCTTTGCAGGACATGACAAATGCTCTGTTTATGCCTCATTAATTAGATAATGTGGCCACACAAGGATTAACAAAAAAAGTTTCAATTACCATGAAACAAAACATGACAGTAGTTTAGGTTATTTCAAAATGAACATTAATATTAACGATAATTAGTGTGACTATAGCCACTCAAACTGATATTTGTATCAATCTTGTTCCTCTGTTTTTTTCAAACAGTTTTCTTCTAATGTTTTAAAAACGTCTTATTTTTCTTCTTCAAATTTTTAAAAAAATGTCTACTTCTTCTTTTCTTGTTTTAAAACCATTGTCACTACCCATTCTGTACCAGAAGGACGATCCATACCATCAGCTCATTTGCACAACCAGGAATACATTCGGGTTGCCCTCAATTTTACTTTGAAAAAAATACCAAATTTAGTTTTTCCTTCCTTAAAAATGGTAAGCGTACTAAGCTATAATGTGTTAAAGGTTAATAATGTATTTCCTTAGAAAATAAATGCAATAAAATCCTTTCTGTTTTTATCACTTGTCTGTGCCAGATCTGAACCGGATTTAGGATCCTACGCTACTTCCGGGCGCTAACGTTTTCGACTTCAGATTAATAAATCTGGTCTTTTTGAGTTTTTTTTTTTTTTTCCTCTAATGGTAACATTATGGTATATAGTGCGTAACCTAAAGAAAGCAAACTAAAATGCAGATAAACATGGTTTAATTATATTTAACCGCACTGCATCACGTCAGCAGTTTAATGGAGAAAATGTAAAAAGCATCAAATTGTCTAAGAAAAGTTATAAAATAAGTTTTAAAGATGTGCATTATCATTCTTTAGTGATTTAAGGACAGCAATAAGTACTTTTAGTACCATGATTACATTGTTTATGGTGACCTGGATGAATATCTGCATGCACACGCGCAAATGAGCCAATGGTAGCCATCGTACATCTGGTACAGATTGGGTAGTCACAACTATCTTCTTCTAATTATTTAAAACGTCTTTTTCTTGTGTTGTTGCAAAACCGTCTTCTTGTAATGTTTCAAAACTTCTTCTGTTGTTTTAGAAACATCTCTTTAGGCTGTTGGCCATGGGTTATTTTTTTAAAACCAACGTATCAGATTGAAATGCGTTGCCAGCCTTAGGAACTATGATAATATTACCAAAATTTAGTTGGTGAAGCATGACATTTCTCTTTTTCTGCCAAATACAATATATTACAATAATTTACTACTTTTTTCTAATGCATTGTCCCTAACATGGATTAATGGTAATTAGAAAGCACTATGTTCATGTATATTCTGCTCTGGTCCCCATACAGTCTTGGACCGGATATAGACATACACACAACTCCACACACACACAAAGCAACCTCTGCACCACCTCAGCAAACTTTGCAACTTCCCATGCTGTCATGTTCCTTTCAAAGGGATGGGATGGCTTCACTAGACCTCGTTAAGATGGAAGGAAGAAACAGTTGTAAGACAAAATCGTTATTTATCTTAGAATAAAGAAATAAAGAATAGAAGGTTCTCTTCGGGATGACGGTAAGACACAGACTGAAGCTTCCTGAGCCTATCCCTGTCTCCTATCGGTTGTCACGTCCCAGCCGGAGGATTACTGGAGGAAAAGTTTATCAGCAGAATGATAAAATTAGCATGCACGCCCATCTTTCTATCCTTTCCCTCCTCCCCTTGCGCTCCTTTTTTTCCCCTCCGCCCCCTCTCAATCTTCTCTCTGCCCCGTGTTTCTCTCTCTCGGATCTCCAGCCTCCCCTTCCATCCCTCTATCAAGCTGCTGTGCAATGAGCCTTTCTTTCTGTGACATTAATTTCATCCTGGAAAAAAAAAA